AAGTCCACATCCTAGAAAATGATAAACAACTAGGGTTTAGGTGACTTCTGATCCTGGTATAGCTCTGTCTTAAGGTCTACTTTACAAGTAGTTTAATATTCCTTCAACTCTTTTTATTGTATCCATGAAATATAGATAATTTTCCTGAAAAACTTCCCCATACAGAGGACTAAATTATTTTGAAATTCTTTGAAGACACTATGTATTTTTTTTATTCACATGAGACAGTTAGCACCTTCATCAGCCCTACTGAAAAAGAAGCGTTCTCGCTGAGCCCATGAGAAGTCATATTTAGCTTTTAACAAACTTAAGTCTTTCATTTCTGTGACCACTAACTTTGTGTATTACCATTTAGAGGCTACTAAGTTTGCTTTCCTGAGGTTCGTGAGGTTTGGAGGCTCATGTTGCCTCACTATGCTGCCCCCACTAGAGGGAGGCACCAAGTTGCTGGGTGCTGGGGTTCTCCCCCTCAAGTACAGCTGGCTGCACAGCCAGACAGAAACAAGGCGCAGACTTGAGCTAACCCTAGGAGCATGACAGGTTTTCTGCTAATAAACCACCATTCTCTGTGGTATGGTCTAGAAATGGGGCCCAGAGCAAGCCATAAATCTTGAAACTCTCTTTGCCCAGGTTTGTTTGAAATCCATGGAGCAACAGTTGTTCCCATCGTGAGTGTGATAGCTCCGGAGAAGCTGTCGGCCAGCACAAGGCGGCGGTACGAAATTCAGGTACACTGGGTCAGAGTATCCTGTCTGATGTGAGCTACAAAGAAGGAATGTGGTAACAGGAAGGAAGAGACATGGAATTTCTCCCCTAACTTTTTATCAGCACAAAGCATCACTCAGATGCCAGAATTCAGCAGCCCCCTCCGTAGCTATTGTCACAATGACCACATCTAAACAGAACCTTTCCTCTGGGGCAGTTGGGGTTGGTTTATTTTTGTTCTAAATAACAAAGCACTGGAGGTCAATCACAAGATGTGAAGCAGTGTCTCATTGCATACAAGTTTTCTGGTGTCTGTGGGATGCCTGATGCTGCGTGGCCAGCCGTGTAAGTTTGGCACAGACACCTCCAGTCCTCAAAGAGCTTCTAATCTTGGAACCATCCACAATATTTAATTTGAGAACAGAAGAAAACGAGTAATAGGATGCCATGCTGACTGTACTGAACTGAGTGTTAGTGTGCTGTGAACGTTTGGGAAAGAGATGTTTGGGAAAAGGCTGCCATTCATTATTCAGAAATGCAATTGGATTGAAATACAAAGATCAAGTTCCTCGTTTTTGTCAGCTCTCCCAGCTGTTTCTCAAGATTTTTGTCTCCCTGCTGCCATCACCACCTACCACATTTCAGCTTCATGTTCTCACTGCTGTCACCTTCCTCTTTTTCCAAAGTCAGCTTATCCTAAAATCTCCCTCCTACTTATTAGGTAATCACTTCAAAATTTAAAAGGACTGGGGCTTTAGCTCGGTGGTAAATACTTACTAGCATACACAAGACCCTGGGTTCAATCCCTAGCCGCCACCGCCCCTCCCCCCCTGCATTAGCAAGAACTAAGCGACACTGGGCATGGTGGCCCCAGCCTGTCATCCCAGCACTTTGGGAAGCTGAGGCAAGAGGATCACAAATTCAAACCCAGCCTGGGCAACTCAGCAAGAACTTGTCTCAAAATAAAAAAAGACTGAGGATGCAGCTCAGAGTAAAGGCCTTGGATTCAATTCCCAGTGCTGAAAAGGAGGAAGAAAAAAAAGAACCCTAACCAAGAAGAGGAATTACTAAACAAATTATCATGGCAGGTTATAAAATCTTATCTCCCCTGAGATCATAGTGGCTTGGGAATCCTTTCTAGCCCTTGGTTTGCCACACTGATTGTTTTCTGAAACAGGAAATAAGATGGCTTGGTTCAGCATGCTCTGAATTCCATTTTCTTCTTATTAGGTACAAACCCGACTTCAGACTACCCTTGCCAATTTACATCAGAAAAGCAGTGAGATTGAAATTTTGGCTGTAAGTTGCAACATTTCAAAGTTGGCTTCTCTCATTGTTTAATATCCCCTCGAAGTTCAGGGCGCCTCTGCTCAGGGTCAGCAGTATCTGGATGCAGACCTTGTTACTGCTGTGACTCACATGCAATCTAAACCTGTAAAGCACTGGGGAGAAATGGATGGAACTGGAGTCTGTCACATTAAGCGAAATAAGCCAGACTCAGAAAGACAAGAATTGCACATTTTCCCTAATGTGAAATCTTACAAAAGATATGAAAGTAGAGAAGACTATTGTTAGACAAGAGAATCGGGGCAAGTGAATGTAAGGAAAGGTAACGGGGATGCGGGCAATCAAAATATTTTCTATGTATATGAAAATACCACACTGAAACCCAGTATTTTATAAAATTAATAGGCACTAATTAAAAACATTAAAAAAAAAAAAGAAGGGAGAAAACTGAAGGGTTGTATTTGTTTCTTCTCTTGCTTCCTCTGAAAGATGGAGGAGGGAAGGGAATGAAAACAAAAATCATTTTTCTGTATGTTTCAGGCTTACACTAAGTACATGTAGCCAGCAGTGTCCGACCTCTGGGTGTGGTGTGGAGGGATCTGAGTAGTTTCCACAGCTTGTTAGCTCACCAAGGGTGAGCTCTTCTCACTGCACACTTTATTATCTGCTTTATAGCACAGTAGTTTTACACCGCCAGCCCCAAAGTGACACTGTAGTCCCAAGTCATTATGTGCCACTTATGAGTTCTGATAGATGTTGTCCGTTTCTGTGTATTAACAGGTGGATCTACCCAAGGAAACAATCCTACAGTTTTTATCATTAGAGGTAAGTAGTATGAACTATTCTACGCTGTGTGTGGCCTTTGCTGTTAATCTGCCAAAAGGAAATTGAAAATGGTATTACATTTTCTTAGCAATATTATTTGTCTTAGAATGCCAAAAATTTAGTAAGGTTAGCCCTTTTGTGTTTTATATATAAGTCAAGGTCACCCATCTACCAGGATCTGAACCTAGCACAGAGTAGCATAAACCTGCATCTCAGCTAGGGAAATGGATCTACAGATTAGAACTACAGAGGTTCCTTTTGTTGAAATTTAGATCCTTTTTATTGCAAATGTCTTCTTTACAGGTACTGTACACATCTTTACCATCAGATTGCCTAAATAAGAACATTTAAATTTTGGAATAGTTACCTTTGCTAGTAAGAATACTTAATATTATTTCATACTACATTTTATGTTGCTCTCCCAAATAAGTATATACCACTACACTGGTGATTTGCTGACTTGTCATTCAGTCAAATGCATACACATTGTGCAGGGTGCAGTGGCACAGGCCTGTAATCCCAGCACTCGGGAGGCTGAGGCAGGAGGACCACTGTGAATTCAAGGCCAGCCTGGGCTACATAGTAAGCCCATCCTGAACTGCACAGTGAGACCCTGTCTCAAAAAAATGGATTAAAAAAAATGGATACGCATTGGAGGCAACATCTCCATTTTATACAAAAATGAACAGTAGGCAGAAAAAACTGATCTCAAGCCATAACAGCACACCAGCACTGTGGCATCCAGCCTCTACTTAGGGACCTGTCTTGTTTTACAGAAAATTCATGCTTAAAAGGAAAAACCCCAGCAGCACCCCCACTAGTTCTCTCTCCCTATAAAGGGTTCTTCTGCTCGACTTGAGAACACTGGCATTTCACTAGTGACCAAGCAAAGGCCAGGTGACAAACCCTGCTGCCCTGTTTTTAAGTCTGATCTGTTTTTTCCTAGTGGGATGCTGACGAACAGGCATTTAACACAACTGTGAAGCAGCTGCTGTCACGCCTGCCAAAGCAGAGATACCTCAAATTAGTGTGCGATGAAATCTATAACATCAAAGTTGAAAAAAAGTAAGCTATCACTTAAGCCCAGCAGGTGTCACATGGTTAAAGCTGAGGAGGGCTTTCAGACTGACACGTACTTTATTGTCCTGTTGCGTCCTGATGCCGTTAAAGCTGTTCTCAGAACTGCGGCTGACCATGAGTGAATCTTACCAGGTTTGTGACTCAGTCACGACACTCCATAATCTATAAACAGTGCAGCAGGAACCATCACAATTATACTTCTGTTTACTCAAGTAACTTACTTCTCGCAGTATGCTCAAACAGAATAACTGGGATTACTTTGCTTTACATCCTCTTTTCAAAATGCCTGTCACTCCTGTGTCATTCCAGTGCAGGGGCCACAGGGAGGCCTGTGAGGTCAGTGGTACTGCTCATCAGGACCTTTCATTGCAGACCCTTGCCAGTCTCAGCCTCTGCAAAACTTATTTTTTTCAGGGCTAGCTGTCCATCTTGTTCCTAATTAAACACAGCTCCTACACTTAAGTGTTATCAAAATATTTATTCTGCTGTTCACCCACTCCAGCCTGTCATTGTAATCTGCCTTTCCCTTCTTTTGCAGGGTGTCTGTGCTGTTCCTGTACAGCTACAAAGACGACTACTACAGAATCTTATTTTAACTTTAAGGAACTCAGAACATTGTTCAGTCAGCCCTTACTCCAAAATAATGGGGTGTTGTAGATTCACCATCACTTTAGCAGCTGCCCTACAAAGCTGAGCTTTGTCACTTTTTCACGTGTAATATATTATAAATTTATCTTTTTGGCTATAATAAATGTTTTCATATATTTGCTGCTTTTTAATTGCAAGTCTCTAAACACTCAAGGTCTTACGGAGCTGGAACACAAGGAAACAGCCTCATTTGCCCCTTGACCCTAATGACTAAAGCATGCGAAACTGTCCTTACTAAAAGGCACAAAAAGATCAAAATCACCAGGCATGGTGGTGGTGCACATTTGTAACCCCCCGCTACCTGGGAGGCTCAGGCAGGAGGATCACAAATTTAAGGGCAGCCTGGGAAACTCAGTAAAACCTTGTCTCAAAATAAAAAATAGAGATGGGGATGTAGCTCAATGTGAGGCTTCAGATTCAATCCCTAGTACTACGCACAAAAAAAGGACCAAAAATCATTAACTGGAAATCTTTATTCTTGATGATTTTGTAATATATTTATCTAATGTGTTTAAGCAAACACTCATTAGGTTATTAGGACTCAGTCAAACTTGCTAAAGAAATTATGATAAAACTGTACGAACTGGAGGAAGAATACCCATAAGATGACATGACTTACACAACTGTCAGGTTTCAATTCCAAGAATGTAGAAGACAGAGTTAAAACCTATTCATTAAAAACATCATTCCCAAACTAGTAGTTATTGCCAGAACTATTAAAATAGGGTGAGAAAAGGGACAAATAAGAGACTGTGCTGGGAAACAAACATTTAATGATACCTTGCTCTTCAGGGAAGTGACCAGAGGCCTCTGAAAACTAATCTAGGAATACACAACCATACGGCACAGATCTAAACTAAACTAGTCTCTTAACACGACTTCCCTGTAAACTGTAACCTTTCTCTCTCCAAAATGACCCTCATCTCACATGAAAATAAGTTTCCAGCAGGGGAACCAAAAACCTAGCTTTGTGGCCAAAAGTAAAAAGCAAAGGAAAAATACCAATTCACTGGTTAAGTGGTAAAAGTACAAGAATCAAGTGCCCTTCACTGTGCTGTTTTGGTCTTCTTATTCTTGCTCTTTTTGTCTCTCTTCTTCAGCCCATCCATGTTAGCTCGCAAGAGGTTTGAGTAGGCCTAAAAGACACAGAGAATGACCTTAGCGGGAAGAGATGCAAACTGGTGGCCGAGTGCCATATCCACAGTGGACTTTGGTAGCCAGAGACAGAGGTCTGCCCAATGAAGAGCTTAACACCATGGGACCCTTGCACTGGGAAATGGTTTAAGCGTAAAACACTATCACATGATAGGTTCTGCAATGCTCACCCAGAGTGAAGTGCATTTGTTTTTTAATTTTATTTTTAAGGAAAAATACAGGAAACTTGTTTGACTATACCACAGGTGGAGCATATGGGAAGTCTGAGACAAGAAAATCTAGCTGAAAAAAAAAAGATAATATCCTTGTTGAAATTCATGGCCTGGCAGGCAGTTATTACTTGAAAAATGGGTGAAACTTATCACAGGACACTGAAGAACCTGAGCACCCTGTTCGATCCCTTCACTACTGTGCGGATTCTTGCTCTAAGGATGTGGAGTGGGGAGCACTAGGTACTCACCATCTGAAACTTATTCACTTCTTTAGAGCTCACCTGGAAAAGGAGGAAAAAAAGATGTCACTCCTGTTTATTCATATAAGTCTCCTCTCTGCTTCACCCCTAGATAATTTCTGAAAAGCTCCATGAAGACATTCTACAAAATATTATTCCTGTTTGTTTTTGTGGTGCTAGGGACTGAACTTAGGCCCCTGTGCATGTTGGCAAGCACCCTGCTGGTGAGCTATATACACCCCATTCTAATCTTTGACACACTTCCCAACTTGAGAAGCTGCACTAAAGGCTATTCTGCTCCATTTCCCTCTGCCTGAGGAACAAGCAAAGTAGCTCTGTGCCTTTTTCCATATAAGAACTCACCAACATAGCCAGGTGTGGGCTCGTGCAAAGCTCTCCTCTACTGAAATGCCTTATACAGACAGATGGCCCTGACTTTTCTCCCTGGGCTCTGAGAGAAGTCAAAGGACTTCTCAGTATTTTTTTGTGCAAAATACACTAAAACTATTCCCTGTCCATCTTGTGTTCCATTAATTCAGACTGAATTAAGCAATTCAAGCTACCACAAGACCAATGGTACCTCTGAAAGCCATCCCTAGTTTCTCTATTGCATGATATCCAACTTTATTCTTAAAGACCATATATAAGCTTGCTTTATTGTAAAATTTTTTCAAGGTAACTTTGAGGCTGAGGCAGGAGGATCACTGCAAGTGCCAGGCCAGCCTGGGCTACGTAGTGAATTCAAGGCGGATCTTAACTACATAGCAAGACCTTACCTTAAGATAATTTGTAAAGGGAAACTTATCAACTGATTGTCTATATTCTCATGAGTATCCTCCACTAATGTGATTTAGAGGGCAATCTTGTTCCACCCTGGCAGAATAAAGTTTTCGTTCAGAATCCAGGGTGTCTTCATCACTTTGAAAGGCTGATGCAGGGGATCTTAAGTTCAAATCCAGCTGGAGTGATTTAGCTAAACCCTGTCTCAAAATTGGGGATGTAGCTAAGTATGGAGGCCCTGGATTCAACCCTAGTAACACACACATGGAAAAAGAGCCCAGGAAGTCTGTTTGCCATACTGTATTCAACCTCCACCATAAAAGGAAAAACTAGGTCTGATGACTAAATGTGTATTCCCTCAAGTACCAAGCCTAACATACTTACTCTGAAAACAACGAAGGAAATAATCAGCTTAAAAATAAAAGAATCACGGGCCAGAGATTTAGCTCAGTGGTGCCGCAGCCTGCTTCCAAAGTGCAAGGTCCTGAGTTTGATCCCCGGTACCCAAAAATAAATAAATAAAAGAATCACTTGAAGACCCGGCACAGTAAGGAGATAAGGAAATATGCCAACTCCTCCTTATAGCACTTACTCTGAGTAAAGACCTATATGCTATTTTTATTTCGATAGAAACTTTAGCCAAACAAGTGTTTGACCTCTACTTTTATTTTGTGGTTGATATTTCCAGTACTAAAATAATAAAGGAATGTCCCAGTCCCAAAACAGCCTGGGAAATAAACATTAACCTTTATCTTAAAAAAAGTCTCTTCAGATATGCCCCATCCTCAGTTCAAGTACTTATAAACTCCCAACATTTTGTGTTAAGAATATGGCTCACAGGGTTAGAGGTGTACATAACTCAGTGGTAGAACGCTTGCAGAGCACCTGTGAGTTCAATTCCCAACATCACAAAAAATACACAGGAAAGGATTCAGCTCACCACAGTGCTGATCTTCTTTTTCCCATCAGTAGCTCTCAACAGACATTTGTTATCTGAAGGCTCAAAGCCCTCCACAGAACCCTTCTTTGGGATGGATCTAGTTCGACCATCATCTGCATGAAAAATACATCCTGGTAAACAGCCACACAAATTAATAATACATAGAAAGTTAAACAGAGAAGGGATACAAAGAGATACCTCATCCACCGTCACTGCTCTAGTCCTGTTAACCACACCATCCACTATCACTTAGGAAACTACCAGTTCCACCATGAAAACATTGTAACATCAAAACACGGGACAGGGTTCCTAACGAAAAGACCGATCTCCGGCAGGCTGGGGCTCTGTAACGGCTCGGACGCACCAGCCTCAGTTCCTAACTCTCCTCTGTGCAGGCTGTGGGAGGGGCCGCGGCGTCCGGCCGGCCGGCGATGGGCTTCCGGCTACCTCTCGCGGCTCCCTCCGGCCCTGCCGCGGCGGCCGCTTACATTTTTTCAGGGTGATGAACACGCTGCCCGACGGCCGGCACTTCTGGAAAAGCCTGGTCAGCTCGGTCAGGAACTGCAACACAAGAAGCCCTGGCCTGTTACGCAGCCACGAATACTCGCCCCGCCGCGGCAAGTCCCTATATCTCCTGCAAAAGGACACAGCGTCCCCGAGCTAACCCCCGAACTGCATGGTCCCTCTGACGGCCAAATTGGCTGTACCTGCTCGCTCTCCAGCAGGACCATTCCAGCGATAAACGATCCAAGCCTTCTGCCTAAACCCACAACGGTTAGAGCCGGAAGTCCCGCCTGCGGTGGGCAGGACTTCCGCTGTTTTATGACGCGTCTTCTGTCAATCACTGCCTCCGTCCCGCGCCTGCGCCCTGGGACGCCCTTCCCCAGGCCTGACCTGGGACTCTTAAGGGCACCTGGCGGCCGGTTGGGCTGTTCTGGGTTTTCACAAATCTCACCCCAATCAATCAGTGTGAGAGAATGAGCGCAAAATTTGATAGTCACCTATAGTTATATATTCCGCTGTATTTTGAGCAAGTCATGTAACAGTTCGATGTCTTGGTTTCCTCATCCTTAAGAAGCGTACAGTGTGGTTGTGAAAAATTAAGAATTAAGAATTCACATTAACACGCAGAACACTGGTAAAATGATGGAGAAGAAAAAAGAATGATGTTCTATGTGTCCTGCAAATGTTCTATGTTTTAAAATGTGGATACAACAAAAGCTGTTACTGCATTAGGTCTAAGTAAACTGGAGTTTATATTAAATCACATAAGATTGGAAAAGAATGAAAATTTTTTATTTTCCCACAGCTGTTCAATTTACAGTTTGAAGTGGGTTTTTGACTCCTTGTTTAAAGAAGAAAAATGCTTGGTTTGGAAGGGACTCTTGAGATTTCACCAGAGACTTTCTTTTTAATAAATCAAATCTTTTAATTATTTGGGGTCTTATTGCAGATTTTAGAAGCAGTCACAAATGAGACCTGTTACAAAAAAAAAAAAAAAAAAAAACCACTGGTACATAGAAAGTGTTCAATAAGCAAACAGCCCTTTTGATGTAGGATAGAAGAAACAAAGATAGGTAGAAAGAAAACAAGGAAAATTATAATCTTAAGAAACTGCAGCTTCAGGACCCAAAGTTATCCGAAGTTATGATGCCTTTTTTCCCCTTCCAGGAAACTGAAAAAAAAAAAAATCCTAAGAAACTTAAAGATATAATAAGCCTGTTAATTGGGCCCATGCTTTTCACCTGTAAATTGAGTCCCAGGTTTTCCAATGCTATAGATTCAGAGTTCACACAGAGCTCCACCATCAAGGAAACAGCACTATTGAGTGGGTTCACCAGCTCTAAATTTCAAACGTGCAAATGTTTTGCATTCCAATCATTCCACTAAGGGGTAGCCTGACAGACACCAGGAGGTCCTCCCTCTTGAGGACACAGCCAGGAACATACAAGTTCCAACTATTAGGAAAAAGGTGTCTTTGGGAGCCATTCTGCATAGCACAGAGCTTCTTGAAGAAGTTCAAGTGCTAGCATGTTTGCAGTGGGTTAGGGCATGCTTTGAAAATAGAGTTACCATGATTGATGTGAGGTTGGATGTGAACATTAAGGAGAAAAGAGGAATCAGTATGATTTATGAATTTTAGGGTTTTGTTTTTGTTGTTGTTTCTTGGGGGGTTTTTTGTTTTGTTTTGTTTTTGAGACAGGGTCTCACTATGCAGTTCAGGCTGGCCTTGAATTCACTATGTAGACCAGGCTGGCCTTGAACTTGAGGCAGTCCCGCCTCAACCTCCTGAGTGCTGGGATTACAGGTGCCTGCCACCACGGCTGGCCTATTTGTGAGTTAATTTAAGTAACTGGGTAAAGGAACTGGATGCCACTAAATAGGAAAAACATGACAAGTAAAAGGTTTATAGAACGATAGTTTTGCTTTTTCAGCACTGAGGATTGAACTCATGGCCTTCACACTGACCTACATCCCTAGTCCCTTTTTATTTTGAAATAAGCTCTCACTAAATGGTGAAGTTGCCCAGTCTGAGGCTCAAACTTGTGATTCACCTGCCTCAGCCTCCCAAATGCCTATGAGGCAGGAGATTAGGGTGTAGCCAACCTGCTGATCAAGTGGCTGTGACCTGTCAATCATGGAGATCCAGGGCACAGGAGCCCAAGCCTTGTACCTGGGACCAATCAGAAAGTCCTATCTTCAGTTCTTCTGCCTCAAGATCAAGCAGGTTTTTGATAGGACAGCCTACATCTGATGTCAGAGTTGGGGGGAGGATACAAAAGACAGTGACCATTAACCTTTTTCACCACTGTGCTTTTTTTCAATGGCCTGCTCTTACTTTAGAGTGTATTTTCTTACTTTAACATGTTCTTGCTGTCTTGAACCACCGATGGTACAAGCATGACTGTCCCATTGAACAGCTTTTTATTAGTTTTATTAGTAAAAAGACCAACAAAGTGATTAAATCAATTTGTACCACCAGTGGTACAAGCTGCCTGATGGGACAGTCATGTATGTACCACTGTTGTTCAAGCCACCTGGCAGCAAAACATACAGATTACAGCTTCATAGTGAACATACTAATTGGCCCACACTCACTGCAGAGCATATTTCTTTTCCTATCTTTAAAAAATGTAAAACCTCATTACCTTTTCCAAGAGTCTTGACCAATTCTTTGCCCAAGACAAGAACTCGGAAAGAATCTCTAGAAGGAGCCCACAGCACCCCAGAATCCCGGTAACACTGGGATTACAGGTATAGACCACCTTGGCCAGCGAAAGATAAGTTTGATTTAGTCATTTGATTCCTGCGATGCCTATTATATGTCTAAGTGGAACTATCAAATAAGCAGCTCAATGTACAAGTTTGGAGTTCAATAAAGAGGTAAAAGCTACAAATAAAAATTGGCAACCAGGCATGATGACACAGGCTTGTATTCCCAGCTGTGCAGGAAGCTGAGACAGGAGGATCACAACTTAGTGAAATCCTGTCTCACAATAAAAATCAGTAAATAAAAAGAGCTGGGAATGTAGCTCAGTGTGTAGGCACTGGGTTCAGTCCCCAGTACCAAAGCAAAACAAGGAGAAAAAAATCAACAGCCATGTCGACCTCCCTGGGTAAAGTCTCATGGCCATCCCATCACAGAATCAATCACTTTGATCACACAAATGCTCAAGTTTGAGTTTTAGCAGGACTGCTGGGCCAGTACCCTTCACCTGCTGACAGAGTGTTCTTTGATTTCTGTTTTTCTCTGGAAATGACTGAGAGCACCTGTTTTGAAGTCAGAAGGATCTGGGTTTAGATCCCATTTCCACTACCTTTTAGTTATATGGCCTCAAGGAAAAGACGGTAATTGCTTATTCATTGATGTTATAAAGATTTTATAAAGTATCTTATAAAAGACCCTTAGGCTTGTTCTTATGTGGTAAATATGGATATGTAAACTTAAATGAATTAAAATTAACTTTAAAGTAATTTAATTCCTCAATCACTTTAGCAACATATCAAGCATTCAATAGCCACCCATGGCTTGGACCATGCAGACAACATATTGGATAATGCTACCATCAGCAGCAAAGAGCCTGGTATGTAATAAATGCTCAATAAATAGTACCAGTATTACCATTTATGGACCACACACCTTCCATCACTTGGACATTGCCATGCTGATTTCTGCCAATGTCCTATACCATTTGGACTATTAGTTAATATTTTTCTTTGAGTCAAGTCATTTAATACTTAAATAAGAATGTCTAATATTATCATAAACATAAAATCAGTATCATTTGCCATAAACAAAATAAATTACAATGAAATAAAATGTTGCTTAATTTAAAATGCTTAGCTTTAAACCTTTAAAACTATGAATAAAAATCTGATGCTGGCAGAAAAAAAAAAGTTTTTAATGGGGGTGGAGGGAAAGGGGAAAAAAATAATTGAGATGTGGTACGTACATGTACCAATTACCCACAATGCTTGTAATCATTATGTACTGCAAACGTGTACTAATAAAACTGTTTAAATAAATAAAACTGAATACAATAGAGCTAGTTGACTTCTAAGATTACACCTGAGAGTAAATTCCTCAGTGGGAAAGGTATTGTTTATGATCAGTCAGGAATAAAGGTAGCTCAGAGTACAATGAAACTGAGAGTTTACATCAATAAGTCATGGCTAAATTTTGATGCTGTCTAACAACCAAAATCCTAACTCGCAATTATGTGTGGTTATGGTGATCTATCATTAATCAATGTGTAATTTAGGTGTATAATAGAGGTTAATGGCTTTTGGCCCTTGGAGCAGAGATGTGCGTGTGCGTGTGTGTGTGTGTGTGTGTGTGTGTGTGTGTGTGTCCCCAAGTCACATGCTTCCTGGCCCTGGCCTTGGGAGAACTGTGAAGGGAAATGGCTCCCAAGTCCCCTGGCATACCACAGGGCCTTCAGCAAGTCAGAGGCAGCACTTGGGGTAAAATGGAGCCTTGGCACACAGCACTGGCATCCGCCCCAGGTACAGGCTGCTACAGGAAGGCCATCGAGCAAAATGTATCCTGTGCTCCTCAGCCACCAGGGTGTGAAGGACCTAAATGAATATTCTTGCTCATACCTCCAAAGATCATCTCACCAAAACTGTGGGAGTCTCAGGTGTCCTTTCCTCATACAGAGCGCCATTTAATTTATTAGGTTTAATTGGAATTGGGTTTGAATTAGGGCCAAGGGTCTTGTTAAGGTTAGGGTTGATGAATTTACAGCTGTGATTACTCTGACACAGTGATGCGTCCCAGACCCTGGAAGGTGTGATGGCTAAAAACACAGCCACTCATTCCTACCTGCTGGAGTCGCAATCCCAGCTAGACCTCTCCTGGTCTGACGAGATAAGTTTACAGGATCCCTGTTAAAAGATAATTTTAAAGGTGAAATTGTGCCTCTCATTACTCATATTAAAAATCTGTTTCACTTTTTACTAGTAAGGGAACCAGGTAGATGTTACAACTCATTCAAAGGAAAAGCCACCAGACACATTTATAGATCAGAAATTCTGAAATGAATTTGTAAATGGAAGCAAAACTAACTTTCCCACTGGAGCAGCCTGGAGCCATCCCTCCACTGAACAATCATTTGTCCACAGAGAAGAATAATGGCCACTAGCTTCCATTCTCTACCACCTAGAGAGGCAGTGGAAGACTAGAATTAGCTGACCCAGATAGGCATGGTCAGACAAGATACAGTTTTCCACTGGAAACATCCACTGATACTTGTCTTCTTTCTTTTTACTTTTCTATTTAGGTATTTTTTAGTCTTTCTTTTCTTTGCACTTTTTTTTTTTTTGCTTATTCCATGTTTCCTTAAATCCCTCTGTGCCTCAATTTCTGGTCTTTAAATGAGGCTGTCATAAAAGTGTCTACCTTACTGTCACAAGTAGCAGTGGAGAGCCTAATTGATCATGACTGTATCCCAGCCTCCTGGATTGGAGTTGGCTCTTCCCTCTCCTCCTTGGCAGGGCAGGTAGGTTCATCCTGCAGAGGCAGAGCACACGGGAGCATGGATGAGTGCCAGGCTTTTGAGACACTGGGTGCCTTACCAGCCGCTTTGATAACAAGGCTGGCTGTCCTCCCTCTGGCTGCTCTGAGTGTTTTCATTTTAACTCCTATGAAAGTGAGCCTTGGGCTGGTTCTGAACCGCCTGAATTTAGGGTCAGCTCTGATGGAGGAAGGCAGGGAATGGCACTTGCGGGTTTGAGTTCAGGGTGACAGGAGCAAGGTCTTAGGCCTTGGAGACTCCTGAGTCAGCAGGAGGGGGTTCGCTCTAGTGAAGACACCCAGGGAAGGCCAGAGAAGCGTGTGTCCCAGAAGCCTGGATGCCCAGAGAGAGAGAGAGAGAGAGACAGAGGGAGAGAAACTGCCCCAAAGCCTGTCTACACACCCCTGGACTGAACCTGTGACTCTTTCGTCGCCAGTCAACAGTGTTTGAGCTCCAGGGATCCCACCCTCAGGATGAAGTGTGGGATTTAAATTCCACCCCAGATCCCTTGATAGACAGGGCATCAGAAGGCCTCAGTTTACCCTAGTCCCTCCCTCTGTGGGACTCATGCCTTATCCTTCACACAGTACTTACCCCCAAGGCTGTTCTTGGGTTGTGAGGTTCAGTTTAGGTAAAGGGCTCATAGTGAACACTCAACCAATTGACTGATTTTTTTTCCACTGTTATGTTGAGGACATAGACTAGATTATTAAAGTCATTTCCACCCCCACCCTCAATTCTAGGATTGAGTCCAGGGCCTTTGTAGTGAGTTTCATCCCCAGCCCACTTTTTATTTTTTAATTTGAGACAGGGTGTCCCTAAATTGGCCCAGTAACTGTGATCCTCCTGCCTCGGCTTCCCAGAGTGCTAGGATTACAAACATGCACCATCACGCCCAGCTCCGCCTCCAAATTCCTGGGAACTACCCCGCTCTGTTCCCCACAAGCCCTAAAGAAGTTTCCCGGAAGCCCATGCTGTTAGTGGTGTGCAAGGCCCGCTCATTCCCTCCAGGGCCTGCCTGCGATACTCCCCACGGCCGGCAGGGGACGCCATGGCCTTGCCAGCCACGCAGCCGCAGGCAGCCCGGCTGCCCCGTAAAGCTTGCCAGTCCTTTACCTTGTTCTACCCACCGGGCGGAACTGCAGCCAGGACTGCGGTCCTGTCTTTCAGAACTACGTTTGGTGCAGGCCAAGGCCTTCTGTGCCACAGGGACAGTACCCTTCCTCGATCCACTGAGCACGGACTAAATGCACACCCGCCGGTGCCCAGCAGGATCTGGGTAGCACGCTGGCTTCAGGGGCTGCTTTTGCTCGGATCACAGCTCGTTCCAGCTGATTGAGAGGTGTGTAAGCGCCAGGCTCATTTCTGGGTGCTTTACCCACATTCTCTCTTGAGCCTTCGTAATCGTCCTGAGAGGTGGCACTGTTTTATGCTATTATCCACCTGGGACCCTGAGGCCCTGGGGAGCGACAGGACTCCTCTCTGATCACACACGTGGTGAGGAGTAGAGATTGGGCCTTGGGTGGAAACAGCAGGCCAAGGAGTGCTGGCTGGGCCAGGGACCAGCAGCAACTGGGCCTTTCAGATGTCAAAACCGGTGGTGGGAGCCGGGGAGGGAAGGCACGAGAGAGGCCAGCCGAGGGCAGAGTAGGAAAATCTGGGAGTGGGCTCTCCATCGGTCTCCTTTCCTCACTCCCTCTTGGGTACAGTTTCCTACCCACCCCATCCTCCAGGCAGAGTCCTGCTCCTCAGCCCTCAACCCTTGTCTTCTAGGCCCCAACCAGCACTCCTGTGCTCCTGGCTTGTTTTTTCTCTCTTTCTTCCCTCCTTTCTTTCTTTTTTTCTGTCTGTCCATCCTTCCTTCCTTCCTTCCTTCCTTCCTTCCTTCCTTCCTTCCTTCTTTCCCTTTCTTTCTTGTATGAAGGATTGAACTCAGGATCTTGGGCTTTTGAGGCAGGCATGGTGCCACTGAACTAAATCCCTGGCCCTCCTGGTTGTGCTCCTGAAGGAAAGTCACTGCAGTCTCCCTGAGCCTCCCTCTTCTCACCTGTAAAATGGGGATGCGGCCTCCCTGCTGGGGGTGGGTAAGTGAGGTAAGGGATCCCGTGACACATTACAAATGAGATGGATGCCCAGAACACCAGGGTTCAGGGTCCTTTTCCCAGCCTACTCAAGCAGTACCCCAGTGCAAATATTCCGTCCCATCCTGCCACACCCTTGTCCCTTGATCACCTCAGCTAGCTGTGTAGGTCTGGTAGCTGCATCATCCTGACACATCATCCCGTGCATCCCACACCTCCCTCTGGGGAGGATGCTTAGGCAATGCTGGACAAAGAAGAGAGCTGTGAGTTCTCAGTTGCTGGGGCTTGGGAGTTCCCGGTACCTCACCAACTACTCCATAACCAGCCCTGGCACTCTGTGCAGTCACGTGGTGGCACGCTAAAGCATGAGTGAACTTTAAGAGGTTCTCCCCTCCGACCATGATTTCCTTCCTTGCTGACCCTCAGGAGATGGGGTTGGCACGCCCTAGCCAGACAGGTCAATGGTCCCAGTCAGCCTGGAGATCTGGACCATGAGGCCCTCATCCTCTTCCTGCCCACCTCCTCCCTCCACTTCATGGGCTTAGTTGGTGAGAGGGGACCCCTTTGTTCATGATTAGGGAGTCCCAAATTTAAAATGTCCTGCCTAGAAGACAAGGACAGGAGATTATACAGCCAAGAGTCTCCACACAAAATACACAGGTGTCCTAATTCCCTCTCTTGGCCTCTGTGTCATTCGTTGAATGTCCCAGGAAGCCCACCCCACCTGGGAGATGGACCAGCAGATACAGATTTGTGTGGGGAAACTTAGCCGTGAGGAACAGACTCCTGTCTGACGAGAGCCACGTCCTTGTGACAATGTCAGTGAGTCACTGACTTCCTGAGTCACGATATCCAGCTGAAGAGACCTGTGAGATCTTCCTGGCACAACTTTTACCTTCTGGCTGCTCATGAGTAAGAAAGCTGTGTGGAGCCCAGAGAGGCGAAGTGACTCAGCCATGGTCCCAAGACTCAGTAGTGACAAAGTAGAGTCTGAAAGGCCTGAGCTGCAGGCCCACTCACCTCAGAATGTCCCCGCAGGCTGGGACAGTAGGAGTGCGACTCAAGCAGTCTCCTGGCAGGTGGGCTGGTGGCTGAGCCTCAGCCCTCCAGGGAAGGGAAGAAGGTGAGGCACCCTCACGCCCCGGCGCCAGGCCTGGATTAGAGGTGGCTTCCTGCTTGGCCCTCATCCAAGGCCAGTTCACAATGGCGGGAAGAGCTGGGCTCAGAGTATGGGCTGCTGCTCTCTCCACCCACTCAGGCCCCTGGAGAGGGAGCCAGGTTCTGCCTGGGGTTTGGGGTGAAGAGAGCTGCAGAAGGGAGATGGAGCCTGGGCACCCTGTTGAGAAGACACCATGCCCAGAGCCCGAGCTGGAAGTGAGGGGAGCCTCCCTGTGTCATAAGGAGTTGGCAGGATGGTGGCACATTCTGGGGACTGGGGCAAGTCCGCCCTTCTCTTTCCCATCCTGACATCCCAGGTCTGGGTGAGCCAACTGCAATGCAGGCAGGAACATGAGAGACAGGAGCACATCCCTGAGGATTTACTGTGCCCTTACGATGGGGTAGATTCCAAGCTCTGCTCTAAGGGATGTATTTTTGAAGTAGGAGGCAGTAGCTAGGGAGGCAAAGCCTCCTGTCTCTAAGGGGGGGGGGGGTACTTGGGATTGAACCCAGGACCCTCACACTGAGTTACATCTCCAGCCCTTTTTATTTTTATTTTTTAATAAAGAGACAGGATCTGGCTAAATTGCATAGTTTCCCAGGCTGGGTTTGAATTTGTAATCTTCCTGCTTCAGCTTCCCAGAATGCTGGGATCATAGGTGTGTGCCACCATGCCTGTACCCTATTATAGACCTTGAAGAGGAAACAGAACAGATGAAGTGACCTGTCAAACCACAAGACGAGGCAGGGACCGGCCAGGGCCCATCTTCTCACCGCAGCAGTGGGGGAGTCTTCACTCTGGACAGCGCCTCAGGGAAAAGAAAGGACTGAGGGGGTCCAGAGATGGGGTAGGGTGGGGGATGTGCTCTGAGAGGATGGGAAGGTAAGACGTGACAGAGATGAAGAGGAACATTCGGGCACAGGACCCCGCTAGTGCGGGAGGCGGGGGTGGTGGTTAGCTTTGAGGCTGACCGTGTGCCTGGCGTGCAGCCCTCCTCCGAATCCCCTGAAGGCTCTGGCCAGCAGAGGCAGGACAGCCTGGGAGCACTGGCAGGGGTCTGCTGGTGCCAGGTGCTCATCTCCTCCACCTCTGAGAAGCCTGGGCAATGAGAAGCAGCTGTGTGAGGCTCCAAGGCTGTGCTGGTGGCTTTCACTCTCCTTCCTGGCTGCAGCCCTGCAGAACAAACTGTTCCTCTAGAAGCCCCAGGGACCGAGGACCCACACCTGCTTGCAGGTTGGCCTGGATGAGGGCCCAGCAGGACCACAGTGGCCCAGAACCGACACTCAGAGGTCTGTTTTTCCATCTCACATGCCTGCAGATAGAATGGACTGGGGGAGCAGACACATTGGAGGGCAAATAATGGGGTACAGCGACAGCAGGGAAGGACAGATTCCAACCCTCCCACCTCTATGTCCCAACGAGGCTGCTCCTTAGAATCTCTTTAACTGGGAACTAAGCCTTCCATTCCAGTGTAGAGGGGGCAAAATCTCCCTCTACCCTCCAAGGGCTTGATAATTGAGTCTGTGAAATAAACTAACATCAGGAGAAGAGGTATACAAACTTTTTTCTTTTTTCTTTTTTTATTAGTACATGTTTTTAGTACATAATGTTTACATTCCTTGGGTAGAGTTGGTACATGTACATTGCCCCCCTTAATTCCACTTTTATGCCCTTTCCCACTGCTCTCTCCCCACCTCTGTCTCTTGATCCCCTTCCCATTTGAGAAAGATCTGTCTCCCTACTTCCTGTTATCTTTTATTTTGCTCTTTATTTATACTGGGTTTCTCATATAAGAGAAACCATGTGATATTTAAGCTTATGTGTCTGATTTATTTCACTTAACATGGTCTCAAGGTGCATCCATTTTCCCACAAATGACTTAAGTTTATTCTTTTTTATAGCAGAGTATTACTCCATTGTATATAAATACCACATTTTCTTTATCTATTCATCTGTTGATGGACATATAGGCTGCTGTCAAGATTTAGCTATTGTGAATTGTACTGCTATAAATATGAGTATGCATATATCATTGTAATATGATGTCTTTAACTCTTTTGAGAAGATACCAAAAAGGGAAGTAGCTGGATCAAATGGAATTTCTAGTCTTAGTTTTTTGAGGAATCTCCATACTAATCTTCATAGTGAGGCCAGGCACAGTGGTGCACATCTGTAGTCCCAGCACTCGGGAGGCTGAGGCAGAAGAATAGCTATGAGTCGGAGGCCAGCCTGGGCTACATAGTGAGTTCAAGGCCAGCCTGAACTACATAGTGAGACTCTGTCTCAACAAAACCAAACAAACAAGCCAAAAAACCCCAATATTGATCTCCATAATGGTTGTACTAGTTTACACTCCCACCAACAATGTAGAAGGGTTCCTTCTTCCCCGCAGCCTCTCTAGCATTTGTTATTATTTGATTTCGGGATGATGGCCATTCACACTTGGGGCATCATGGGAAAATGTAACCCAGTAAGATCTAGATGGTTACATACCCTCGTTGTATAGGCTGAGGGTACAGGCAGTTTAGAGGAGAGTACATGGTTTGGAGGAAAGATGAACTGTCCCAGAGGGATAGGTGATGGGCTGAAACAAAGGCTGCCTGGGTGTGGTGTCGTCTCCAGTCTCAAGTGACTCTGTTAATCTTCCCTGGTGATGAGGTTGAGGGAAGATTTATGACAATTTAGCTCCTTTTGAAGGATTTATCCTCAGACATATAAGAAAGTTCAGAAAGACTGAACTTTGCTGCCCCCAGGGGCCCTCGGTGTGAGGTGATCAGGACCCCAAAGCAGCACATCTGGGGTGGCATCCCTGAACTTCTTCACCAGTTACAGCTAATGCTTGGCACAGCTTAGGATGGACTATTAGCCAGTCAGCCATGGTGGGAATTACCATGTCAAGTCCACGGACCCTGCCAAGTCCGTGGGAATCCCCCTGACAGTATCAAGGGCTGATATCCTGTCTCTACAACCCACGGTGTGCTGAGAGGCCTTGGGAGCAGATGGGACCTGGAAGGACCGAAGGTAGAAGCCCAAAGGAGCCATGCTGTTTCGAAAGGAGCCACACTGCAGGCTCCTGGTGGCAGTTTCAGGGCCGGGGAGAAGGTACAGGGTGGCAGGGTGGGTGCAAGGGTCTGGCAGAAGGGAACATGCTGTTCTCTACCAGACTTCCATCAGAACGGCTGTGCCCTGCCAAGTCCAATGTTGGTAACAAGCAAAGGGAGAGCTGAAGAACAAGGCCAGGCTGGGCCATGTATGGTGACTCTACCTGCACCCAATAGGAACAGACCTGGGCTTGGCCGGCTCCACATGTATGTGTGCATGTGTGCAAGTGTACACACAAGAAGGTGGCAGGTGTTGGTTGGCCTAGGTGAGCACTGGCAGTCACAGTCCAGAAGATGCCAAACTCTGTTTACTGCCAAGGCCAGTGGTGCTGGGAGCTGCAGAGCCAGAACGCTAACCCTGCCCATCCCAAGATGCAGCTTCCCACAGCAGACCGAAAGCAGAGTATAGAGGCTGGAGAGAGACAGCTGGGTAGGCAGGAAGAGGGGCTTCATCTTCAAGGAGGGCTCAGCTAGGCCAGATGCCTTCCTCACCTCCAATGCAGCCATTTCCACCTCTCGGGCAAGGGACACTTGATGAGCAGCAGCAGCTTTGTCTAGGATGCTCTACAGGTCCCCAAGTTCCTCTTCTCAAATACACATACTGCCTCAATAGGAGGCACAGATTGATAAGTCTGAGGACAGGCATCAGGTCAGTCATGCTGGGACAGACCATGTTGAAGAGGGACACTTAGAAGGGAGAAAAAATTTGAAAACATTGAGGCTAGTGGGCAGGGGAACGTGGGAGGTGTGAGAGATGTTGGGGCAGGAGAGGGCTCAGAAGGAGGGCTGCAAAGTGGCCCGGCTGGCTGTCTATCCTGACACCGACTCTCTGCCACCAACCTAGGTCCCCTGCAATTCAACCCAGGGCCATTTCTGACCCTAACAATGCAGAGTGTCAGATCCCACGAGCTGCAGGGCAAAGTCCCCAAGAAGACTGCCCTTGTTCAGACATCAATTGCAAGTAGGGTCCTTCAGCTATTTGTACCTCGTCTGACTACAGATTTGGAGGTTCTCGGCGCTCCCCTTAAAATGTGATAGTTTGCTTGGATGACTCACCAAAGTCACCATAAGCTCTGCACTTACAGTTACAGTTGTGTTATAAAATATGACTCATGAACGCCAAAGGAACACACACATAGGGCAGGTTTGGGAGGAGGGCTTGTGGAGCTGACGTCTTCTCTCTGTGGAATCAGGTGCCTAGCTGTGTTTACCAACTGGGTAGCTCCTCTCAATTTCCGTGTCCAGAGTTTTATGTGGGGTTTCATTCCATGGCTGTGATTGATGGACCATGTGATGAATTCAATCTATAGCCCTTTCCTGTCCAGAGTGCAGCAGGGTAAGAACGTTACCAGCCCTCGGATCACATGCTTGGTCTTTCTGGCGTGGCCACCGTCTAAGGGCCACCATGAGTCACCTCGTTAGCCTAAACACAGGTATAGTGGAAATGGCCTGGTTATAAACAAAAGACACTCCCAGCACTCAAGAAATGCCAAGGGTTTTGAAGCTCTGAGCCAGCAAACACAAACAAAGATCAAGTACATTTAAAAAATTATCCTGCTGATTGGAATGAACAGTTCTTGTAGTGAAATGCAAAAGGTAATGAGAATAGAAATGCAGGATGGGGTGAATTTATAAGGTCAGAAATTGAGTGGAGCTCCAAAACTATGCCCCAAAGTATGACAATGTGACATGCTGAACTGATGACCTAAAGCTTCAGCCCCAAAGCCTCTGACCGCGGCATCCCTGGCCCCTGGCTTTTCTCTTCATCCTCTCTCTCCCAAAGCACAGGGAGAAACTTTTTCTGAAGTTCCCTTATCTACCTAAAGACCAGATCTGGCCAAGAGGAACAAAATTGCTTTCAATCTTTTTATTGAAACTTCATT